CAGCAGCCGCTCCTGCTCCTCCTGCGCCTTCTTCTGCTGGATGAGGGCCGTGTGCGTCTGCGCGAACTGCTGCGGCGACGGCTCCTCGTTCCAGCCCCACTTGGCCTTCAGGTCGCCGTAGACGAAGCCGATGCGCCAGCCGGTTTCCTTGTTGATCTTGTCGAAGATCTGGAGGACTTCTTCTTGCTCGCGGCGGTCCGTGAGGATCTCGGCGGCGTGGGCGAGGGAGCGGAGGGCGACGGAGGCGACGCCGCTGGGTAGGGAGTCAGTGGGGTTTGATGGTGGGAAAAGAGGGACGGGGACTTACCGGTCTTTGACGTGCGCTACGATGCCGCAGATCATGTTCGAGTGCCGCTTTGCCAGCTCAGTCATCTCCAGGTTGTCGTTGCCGCAGTACGGATGTGTCTGCGCCAACAGCAGCTGCGCAGTGTGGAAGAAGAGTCGGGCCACAATCGAGGTCCTCTTCACGAGCCAGACCTCCGGAAATACCGACTTCGAGCTCGTTTGGTGCGGGTACAAGAACGCCATGGGCTGCATCGTCCTCGGGATCCCATCGTTCCACGCATCGACCCACCCTTTCAGCCTCGACCACTCCTCATATCGATGCTGCGTCCGTATTTGATCATCCCGAAGATTATGCTCCGGATGTCGCGGCATAGTCGCCCGGAAATTACAGACCTTGGCCAGGATATAGAGCATACGGTGTGTCCAGACCTCCTCCCTCCCATTCATATCCTCGCGATTGAAATCCATGTCCACCGCCCAGTCGTCCGGGTCCCATGCTACCTGCCAGTTGAAGTGCAGACAGCTGAGTACTTCGAGCCCGACATTGAGCCAGAAACATGCGGAGCCGATACCCTGCGACCGGGCGTTCCAGCCACATTCTTTGATTAGTGCTCGCGCACCTGCGATGTGGTTCATGCGTTGTAGGGCTCGCTCGGACATGATCTCGTATACGTTCAGTATCACGGCTGTGGTGGCGCAAATCACCGTGTCTCTGTTAGGATTCTGCAGGTTCTGCAGCAAGTACCGCGTCGATGTGTCGTAGTATTCGAGCGCTTTCTCTTCGGTGTAAGATGGATTGACGAGCGTCAAATGTCGGGCTCCGCAGGCGAGGAAGGCGTTGAGCAGCATAGGCTCTGAAAGGGCGTGGAAGGGTAAAAGTCGCGAGAAATGCTTGAGCGAATCCATGCTGTCCATCCACAAGCCCACTTCTTCGATGAATACTTGCATGAAGAGCGTCTCCTGTTGGCTCTCCATGTACTCCTTCTTGTCGTCGCCTGATATCTCGACCTGTGCGGTGTTGTAGCTCGTGACGGATGTCTGTCCGGCCACGCTGGATGGACCGGAGTCGCCATACTGCGTTTCGTGACTTGAGCCCGAGTTGGGAGGGATCGTGAAGACGACGGGCTCCGCCTTCATCTGCTGGTTGTACATTGCGTTCATGTCGGGTTGCTGCGATTGGTCGAGGTAAGTCTCCGGGAGCATACTCTGCATAGAGGGAAGCGGTTGCTGCGCTGCTGGTCCAGTCTCGGCAAAACTGAAAGCCAAGCCGGAGTCATGCTGCTGGGCGATGGTCGGAATATCTTGCTGCAATGGCCTGTACGCTTTCGTGCCGCCTTGGTACTCGCTCGCAATCTCCCGCGACTCGTCCACGAAGTCCACCCTCCAGTTCTCCGTCCCGAACTGCGAGACCAAGGTCGGCGGTCGCTCGGTCCACAGGTCGATGAAGTTGAGCCGCACGCCGCGCTTGCACTCTCTGTTGCTCTTGTTGCAGTTGTTGCAATTCGGCATGCCTTCGTCGCACTTCAGGTGGCGCTCTCGACACGTCAGACAGCCAGTCCGCACGCGCCTTGGCTTGTTTGTCGAGCCATCGCCGTCCTTATCGCCGTCCGCGGTCGCCATGACCTCCGCCTTGCTGTCCGACCTTGGGCCCACTCGCTTGACCTTCTTGGAAGGTTTGTTTCCCGTCGGATGCGGAGGCGTCTTGCGCTTCTGCTTCACCGCTGCGAATTGCTCTCCACTGGTCGTCGGTTCGGAGGAGGTAGGCGAGATGGCGCGGGTGGCATAGGAGGCATAGGGAGGGTCGAAGGCAGACTGCTGGTACGCAGCCTGATCGGTGGTGGAAGCCAGGGTATGGGTGGGCGGCGCTGCAGCCGGGGTTTGCGGCCTTTGGTGGCCTGGAGAGGGGATATGGCTGGGTTAAGCGTCCTCACAATGCATTGCGCGTGTTCAGACCCGGCGATTGGGCACGGCTCGCTTGGGTATCGACGGACGCCCACCTTCCGAATCCAGGTAACAGCGCACCACTGAGACTTGAAGCCGGGGATACTGCGACTACGCCAATAGTTGGTTTTCTAGGGTGAAGATAATGCGCGCACTGGGCATCAAATGGGTGGAAAATGTGTTGGCATACAAGACCAATGCGCCCGTGCTTTGAAGATGGGGACGGAAACAGGGCAACTTCTCCCGAAGCTCTTTGTCTAGTTCTACATGTATTCTATGTGTACACGATTATCGGTGGCATTATTCCAACTCAAAGGTGAGGGACGCATTGTTGCCGACTGGAGCCTACCAAGTGACACATCTCCGTCATCCTATAACGTGTAGCCACCTACAATAAGCTACATGTATACTTGACCGTCCTAAGGCATTTATGAAGGAGGCGACAGATCTGGTAGCCAATCCGGTCACGTCAGTCCTCACCTACCTTACCTTATTATTATCACCCTCTCATTAGCCCTATGCGCCCCACCGGCAGGACCCGCACGAGAAGCCATTCGAACCAACATGGAACGCAGCCGCAAATACACAGAGTGACACTTATTCTAGTAGGCCACCCTGGTGGTGTCACAGTCATCACTAGAGCTTACAACTGGCGTGACCTACTTGCGAGTGAACCTGAAGTCAAGGCAATGATCTCTCCAGCAGCGACGTTGGCGCCCCAATGGCTCCAGCGACATATCTACCGGTAGAAGCCGACGATGAACACTCCTCGGCACGCGAGCAACCCCCCCCCAAGACGACATACTCTGATGACAACGATGACGATGACGGGCTGGAGGACTTGGAGGCGAAAGAAGGGTACGAGCTGAGAGATCTGAATGCGGTTGCCAGGCCACGGCAGCAGGGTGTTGCGGGTGGGTCGGCGGACAAGGAAGCGGGAGACGACGACGACGACGAGGATCATGAGGGCGGTGGTGCTGTCAACGGGCGCGCAAGGCGACGTCGCGCAAGCGTGCAGTCGTATGAGCTGTACACCCCGGACGAGGAGCGGCGCGTACGGCGAAAGCTGGACACCCGCCTGGTCCTCTTCGTTGCGCTCCTCTACCTCATGTCTTTCTTAGATCGCAGCAGTTCGTCATCACCTTCATCACAGCACTCCCGTGGAAGTTGATCCTGACCGACGGTATACAGATATCGGGAACGCAAGGCTCGCCGGCTTGACGGACGACCTCCACCTTTCCGACGATCAATACCAATGGCTGCTGACCGCCTTCTACATCTCCTACATCCTCTTCGAATGGATGACCATCTGCTACCAGCTCTTTCCTCCCCACATCTACATCAGCTGCTGCGTTTTCGCCTGGGGTGTCTTGGCCGCCTTGCAAGCCGTAACGACAAACTTCGCCGGCATCCTTGTTCTGCGGGCATTGCTAGGCATTGGCGAGGCTGCCTTCGTCGGCATCCCGTTCTACCTGTCCTTCTTCTTCCGCCAGGACGAATTGGCCTTCCGGATCGGACTCTTCATCTCCGCCGCGCCGCTCGCCACCAGCTTCGCCAGCTCGCTCGCCTGGCTCATAGTTCGCTTTGGCGACCAGACCGGCATTGCCAGTTGGCGTCTTCTGCTGCTAGTGGAGGGGTTCCCGGCTTGCTTGATCGCGGCGTGGGCTTGGCGCTGGATACCAGATGCGCCGCAGACGGCTCGATGGCTGACCAGCCGCGAACGCCGAGTCGCCACCCTCCGCATGCGCAAGGAAGCCGACGGCGATGGTGGTGCGCTGTCCGGGTCGCAGTCCACAATACCCCGACACAAGCGCAAATTCAACTGGCGCGAAGCCCTGCGCACTCTCAAGGACCCCAAAGCCTACCTAACGGCCGGCATGTTCTTCTGCTGCAACGTAGCCTTCAGCAGCATGCCCGTCTTCCTCCCCACCATCGTGCACTCCATGGGCTACTCCACCCTCGCCTCCCAAGGCCTCTCCGCACCCCCTTTCCTCTTCGCCTTCCTCGCCGTCCTCACCACAGCCTTCCTCTCCGACCGCCTCCGAAGCCGCAGCGGACCCATGATCTTCCACGCCTGCCTCGCCATGGCCGGGTACATCCTCCTCGCCGTCGCGGGCACGCTCCGCTTCGGACACCTCGTCCGCTATCTAGCCGTCTTTCCCATCTGCGCAGGGTTCTTCTCGGCGGTCACCATCGTCATTACCTGGACGGTCATACAACCAGCCTTCGGACGAGGGCAAGGGGACGGGCATGGCGATGCTGAATGTTATTGGCCAGATGGGACCTTTGCTGGGTACGAGGCTGTACCCGGATGCGGAAGGACCGTACTATGTCAAGGGTATGAGCGTGTGTGCGGTCGCTATGGCGATGGTGGGGATTCTGGCTTTCACGCTGCGGATGGTGCTGAAAGCCGAGAACGCTCGACGGAAGAGTGGCTGGAGGGAGGCGGAGGAGGAGGAGGGCGAGGCTTTGGTGGGCAGTAGAAGCAAGAGCGAACCGTTCATATACCTGATATGAGAAGGCTTCCGTCTTACCGTTCTTGGACAATCCAAGTCGGAAGTTCGAGCTGTAAAATACCAAAACCTACCGCACCTGAATACGGTATCCTCCTTGCCGTTCAATCGTCAATGCTCAGTGATGACCCTCGCACCGCGTTAGATGCACTGATTGCCTGCACGGCTCACGTGGAAACCAAAACGAGAAGCTGCGAAAGCTCAGCGAAATCTGTGTCCCCATCGAGAGCAGGGAAAAGGCCAAAAGGGTTGCACGCGGTGTACTAGGACCGAGACTTGAACTCGGGACCTTCTGTGCACACAGAGGAGGGCGACGAAGCCTTCGTATGTTAGACAGACGTGATAACCAACTACACCATCCCAGCGATGCAATCGGAAGTTGCGACCAAAATTTCGGTATGTCATGTGAGTGCTGGCGGTCCGAGCTTCGTCCGATTGCGTGGTGGGGTGGATTGAATGCTCGGAATTCGCCTCGCCTGCTGTGTCAGAAGAACGTACAAGCATGCGAGTGCTCCAGACGGTTCGGTGTGTACGCCACGCCTGCCATCGGATGGACTGACGCGAGGTGGGAACGGGCCCGAGTCCGCCAAAACCATTGGCACCATCTGGGTCGCGATCAAAGTCCACATCTAGCATGGCACCCAAGGCGAAGCGAGACGCACCGGACTTGGACGTAAACGATCTCCCCACTCCCGCCCTAGACAACGAAGACCTCCGAATGTCCTACCGCATAGCGCGCGGCGAACAGGGCGTCCTGACCTTCGAGCCCTACAAATCGCTCCTCCTGCCCCACTGGCGCTTCCGCACCATCCCCATCGCCCAGGCGTCGTCCACCACCCTCTGGCGAGCTTTCCAGCACTACGTCGAAACCGGCGACTTCGTGGGCGCGGATATGGCGCGGAAATTCATCCAGATGGGCATGACGCGTGCGAAGCGGTATGCGAATCACAAGGGCGGGAGGAAGTATGATCGGAGTGCGCGGGAGGTGGAGAGGGAGGGGGGTGGGAGGGCGGAGTTGCCGGTGTCGGTGGCGCATGAGGGGAAGGAGGAGAAGTTGGGGGCGAGCGAGGTGTTTAGGGAGGTTTGGCGGAGGTGTGGGGGGGATGAGCGGTATGCGGGGTTGAAGAGGGAGTTTTTGGCTGAGCAGAAGGTGTGGGATGGGGAGCGGAAGAAGATTGTGAAGAAGGAGGAGGAGGAGATGAAGGTGGTCAAGGACGAGGAGGTTGACGATGGGTGAGCTGTGCCATCCTGGTGAAGATTCCTGCGGGACCATGGAATTTTGCATTGGCTCGCCACGAAGTCACCGTCAGATGGTGCACGCCGACTACAGTCTGGAGTACCCCGCAGAGAGCGCGGTCACGGCATATCAGTCCTGACTTGTAGCTCCGGTGCGGGAAGAGAGGCGTATACGCTTGGCAGGATTCGAGGAAGGCTCCCCGGTCAGACATAGCAGAGGACTGGCCTCCAGCGCCACGGTGAGTTCGTCCTAGTGGCGTTCGTCGATGAGCTGCACTAGCCGGTCCGAAGAGACACTCCAACTCGCTGGCGTTGAAAGATGCGAAGAGACGCAGACCAATGTGTCGACGATATCCGGGGTGTGGCGAACTCGGTGGCCAGACAGGACCCCGGGAAATTTTGGTGGAAGCTGGCCAGTCACCCGCAGAGTGTTACCTTGCCGTAAGGCATATACTTGCTGTACGAAGGAGAGTAGCTAATCGTAGGACCCTTCTCGTGCGACTTTATGTATTATAGACACAGTACCGTCTCGCGCATCTCTAGGCACGACGTCGCGATGTGGGAGTGAAGGCAGAAAACAGTCGGGCTCAAAGTTTCGTCTTGCTGTATTGTCTATCTATCTCTACCGCGATCGTTACCGTCGTGCCATATGTATACTCAAGAGGATGCTGTACTCGCCCACGCTCGCCACTTCACTTCGCGTGCCCGTTGAGGCCCGCTTCGCCTTTCTGGTAGGACTCGTAACCTTCGCGAGCGGCATCCTTTACTGTAATCTCTCCTGCCACAATTTCCTTGACTTTCTTCAAGATATCACTCCAGTCGGAGAAGACAGTGAACGGCGTGTTCTGCTTGACGCAGTATTGGATCAGATCTGGACTTCTGTCAGTAAAGTGTTCTGATGATCGGACGGCACCTGACGCGAACCGTGTCCTTTCTTCGCAAAGAGCAGATCCGTCTCGCTGGCGGCGGAGAGATCGGACACCCCGTCACCGGCATAGAACATCGTCGGCCGCTTATCGGCTGGCAGTTTTGCGTATGGTCGGATGCAGATGGACTTGTCATGACCGAAGCCGCTGCAAGAACGTCAGCGCAACTACAAGATTGATCGTACGCTTCACAAGACCAACCTATCATCATGGTACTTGATCTGCCAACCCCCTTCCTGATCGATCGACTTGCCCGGTCTTGCCTCGACCTCGTTGCTGATGATGTCGATCTTCTCGGCATTCTCGCCGACCAGTTTCTTCATGATGGCCTTGATAATCGGATGCATGCCAGACGACACGATCACGGTCGGAATGTCGTTCTCGAGAGCCCACTGCAGATACTCGTTGAAGTAAGGGTCGAGCTTGATGTTCTTGACAAGGTAGTCGATACACTCCGGGAAGGGCCTCGTGACCGAGTCCATCATCTTGCGGAACGAATCGCTAGATCACGTCAGCGTCGAGTACTTCATGGGCAGATAAATGTTGGCGTACCGAAATGTCTCTTTGCCTTCGAGAACACCCTTGTTTGATTGGCGTCGCTTCTCACCACCAAAGCCAATGTTGTCCGTCTGCATCGGTCAACTACGCCCGGCTGTCGACTGTGCGACTCGCCATACCATGTAGTCGTTGCTGTCCTGCAGCGTCATGGTCCCGTCAAAGTCCGTAAAGAAAATGAATTTTGGATTCTCGACCGGCCAGTGCATCGCCTTGAGCTCATCATGCGCGCCTATGGCTGTCATCTTGGTGGATGCGGTATGGGTGAAGTGTTGGAACAGCGATCTCGAGGAAGAAATACTTGTTTGTGAGCGCCACCAAAAATCATATATCGCTGAGCCGCCAACGATCACCGTCTCGAAGCGGAAGTTAGGCACGCCGATCACACCCCCGATCGCTCCGCACTCTCGATTCATTATGAAATGAGAGTCGCTGTTGACGAGGGTTATACATACGGACGATGCAGCCTTTCGCTAGGCCAGCTCCCCGTCTCCCAACAGCCATTGCCAGGAACATACGGACTACGCCTAGAGTCGCGCTGGTACCCTCACGAACGATAGCCCCTGTCTCGCAATGGGTTTGCGCCGATTGCCGGCTCAAGGCACAGTCGCAGACGAGCCGAACGACGAGGACAATCTACGGCGGCAATGGCAGAAGAGCCTTCTCGACGAGTCTCCGCCGCTTCAATGAGCCAGCACAACCAGAGGCAACAAGGTCCCTGCCATCGCATGTCGAGAAGCAAAGATGGCAGATGTCGAAAGACATGACCCGGTTCGTAGACGGCGTTCTCGCACGTGCCTCGATCGCCGGCCAGCATATCAACGAGTACACTGGCACGGATTACACCGGGATAGAGGTCCTGCGCAAGCAGATCCTAACCCAGGAGCAAAAAGTCAAGGATCGACACAGCGAAGCCGACAGCGCCAAACTCGTCCACCGAGAAGCCTACATCAAACAAGCGGCGGCACAAAAGGAGATCGTGAGCTTGCTGGAGCGGAAGAGCTCCTGGAGTCCAATAGACCTGGATCGCTACATGTCCCTCGTGCGCTCCGAGCACCTCAACGACCAGACCGTACAAGTCGCCAAGGACGACCTCGCGGCCGCCGAGCGCGAGCTGGAGGGTGCGCGGTCGCTGCTAGAGAGGTTCGAGAGGAAGCAGTATCACGAGGAGCAGATATGGAGTGACACTATACGACGGAATAGTACGTGGTTGACTTTTGGGCTGATGGGCGTCAACATTATGCTGTTGCTAGCGCAGATATTGATCTTCGAGCCGTATCGAAGGCGAAAGATTGTACGAGATATGAAGGCTGCGCTCGATGAGAAGACTTTGCATATTGCGGCGCCTACTCCGGCGGCGGAGGTTGTGAAGCAGGTTCACGAGGTGGCTGAGCCTTCTCGTTCTCCGAAAGAGGAGACGGAGAAGGCAGCCGAGCTGTCGACAGTGCCGGGAGATCCTGTGGAAGTCCTCCGGGGAAGCGACCCAGAAGCTGTCCCGACGCTGCTCTCTGCTAGTGAAAGCCCGCCGGAGGAGGTGATTGGCGACGCTCAACGCCTTGCCCGAGTATCCGACTCGCCCAATGGGCACATCGCCGGCCAGGCACTTGAAGGCAATATGCAGAAGTACACGGAGCTGTTCTTCGACCTCTTCAGCGAGCGTCTGATACAAATGAAGCAGGTCGATCTCACAACTGTCGCATTGCAGGGCGCCGCGGCGGGCGTTGCGACAATGGGCTTGCTCTTCGTGCTGCTGAGGCCAAAATGAAACGAGTGGAACATATGGAGCTTCCAAACCACCGCTTTGCGCTCACTGGGTATAGATGACGTTGCTGCGCCGTTCATTGAAACTCTCCAAACTCGCCATCGTCGAAGCCTAGGTCTTTCGCCGACTTCCCTGCCACACCCGACGGTGGCACTGGGTGCGGATGCTCGTCATGAGACTTGCCAGCCGGCGGAGGCGGCGCAATAGAGAACAGCGCCGTGCCATCATTAGACTCCGCACGCGCATTACCAGGCGCAGGCCGTCTACTCTTCGAGCCAACCTGAATATGTATCTTCTCCCCCTCCTTCAAACTGAAATCCACCTTACTCTCCTGCTCACCTTTACCCTTGCCCTGTGCACTCCTCCCAGAAGAAGACGAAGCACTCTCGCCCGCGCCTTCCATCCCCAACACCTTCCTCGCCTCCGTCAGCGCAATACTGAAGTCGAACGCGGGACTCCGGTCTTCGAACCCCACGCCCAACGTCGCTTTCATCCCCCGCTCCCCCTGTACGCGCACGGCGAAGAAGCGGCTGCTGTCATTCGCCTGCTGCACCACCGCCGCGCTCGTGTACGGCGCCGCGGCGAACAAGTCCCCCGTGTTGCTGTCTTCGAGCGCAATGTCCACTTTGATCTGCGCGTCCTGGGTGGTCTCGATGACTCGCAAGCGTGCGGTGAAGATCTCTTTGGCGGTTGGCTGAGTGGGGGAGGTCCAGGACCCGGCGGAGAAGCCTTTGTTGGATGTTATGGGTGGGATGCCGTAGACGTGGACGCTGTTGGTTACGAAGAGGATGCGTTGGTAGGAGGAGTCGGAGTCTGGGAGGGGCTGGCCGGTTGCCGGGTCTATCATGGCTATGGCACTCTGTATTTCCCTCTTTGCTGCGGTATC